TGGGGATGGGTTTTTTTGCGGGGGAGGGGAAAAGGTTATGAAAGTGGTCTACAATTAAACAGAGGTAAAGGTCATGCAATCCTACGAATACACTGAAAACCACTGAACTGTATACTTTAAAGTGGTACGTTTTCTGCTATGTGAATTATATCAAAACTATGCAATACAAAAATGTGTCAGAAGTAAAAGGAAAAACAGAAGATGCATAATCATAGTTGGAGGTTTGCCACTCTCGGTCACTGACAGACAAACCAACCCCAATCAGTAAGGATACGGATGTGAACAACACAGGTCAAAGCCTGCACAAATGGACTCAGCTAGCAAACAGCACGGAGCAGCTGAGAAATGCTGCCATCGATGGAGCCCTGGCTTTGGACCCTACGACAGACCAGACCTTGTACTTCCCATGCAATGCCTCAGCTAACCCCCCTTATCATCACACACCCCCTTATGGGTGAGGAAATGGAGGTACCGGAGGAAAAGAGAGGGTAAGCATCTGGCCCAAAGTGACCAGCTTGCTCTTAACCTCCCTGCCACACTGTCTCCAGGGACTGAATTTCAGAGAGGTTTGACTAGAATCTTTATTCACATAAACACATCCCGTGGTGCTGGAGTAATGCCGTCTGAGGCAGACCGAATCGACGTGAACTGTTAATAACCTACTACATAAGCAAACACGTACACTGGGCTCCTACGGTGTAGAAGCCATAGTGAGAGGTCAAAAAAAACAAAACAAAAAAACCAGCAACAATTTATTGTGCTCTGACTCAAGCTTGTAGCTCGAAGTTGCAAGCACTTTCCATTCTTTATATTATCTCATTTTCACAATACCTGCCGGTTGCATATGCTAAATCCTCATTCCATGCACGAGAAGTGACACCCCAGGGTGGCAAGGGACACTGCTCCGAGGAGCGGAACCTGGATCTGAGGAACTCCAGAATCCAGGCTCTGAGCCCCTCCCTCCGCACCCACCATCTGCACTGTCTCCGTGCCCGTCCTCAACACAGAGCCTTAAAGCAGGGTGCGTGTCCAGGTATGGGTTCTGAGCTTCGCACGACCCTGTGAAGTAGGCAAGACAGAGATCACAGAATTTTCTAAAGGAGGAGAGCCGGTGGCGAACGCAAAGAAAGCGCCTGGGGGGGCACACGTGAATGCTCTACCCACTAGGTGAGACTACCAGCAACTCGGGAAAAGGCAGGGAAGAACACCTCAAGGAGCATCTGGACGTTAGCCTTTCGTCATTTAACACAGACATGTTTATTCTGTTACTATACTTACCAGGGTTTCCGGTTGGATGATAAATACGGGCTTCTAAGGAGCCCATTCACAGCCCACATTCCTTCTGTGGCAGGGGAGCGAGACAGCGACTGCCTTCATGAATTACTCTGATGGAGCACAGCGGCCCTGAGAGCTGGCTAAAGAGAAATGCCTAAGGTAGCCATTTCCCGGGGTGGGTCTATGTACACGATTTGTCTTCTCTGGGCCCAGAGAAAGCAAACAGTCAGACAGGCCTCTTACACAGTAAGTCACCCACAGGATTACATTTCGTGTTCACCAGATCCATTTAGAAAGAAGTAAACGGACACTCAAGAGAGGTTACGTGACCTGGCCAAGGTCATGCTTCTAAGGAAGCAGCATATCTGGGACGAGAATCCAGGTCTCCTGCTAACTAGGCCAGTGTTCCGTCTGCAGGTCCGACAGGTCTGGGACACCTCAGTCACGTAAGGCTGGAGGACCCTTCTACATGTGGATAAAGGCATAACAGATAGGCCAAGGGCTAGACTGGAACAGAAAAAGCCAGAACTTCAGCTTTGGAAGGGAAACTAAGAATCATCCAACTACCCATTATGTATTCATTTACATAAAGATGAGTAAACTGAGGACTGGCCAAAAGTCACACAGCTAGAAATGTCAGCAGCAGGACCAGAACCCAGGTCTGTGCCAACCTCATTCAACTGAGCATAGAGAGGAATCTGCAAAGGCTACTCTAGAGATGACAAAGCCCTCAATCCACTGGGTTGGTCTGTTTTCCCCTTAGCAGGCCTAGGCCATGCACAAAAATTATAAGGTGAGAATTTTGTCCTTCAGAAATTGAGTCTAGCTAGAAAAATGCGCATGTGCACAGGAAAACAGAATTGATAACGTAAAACATCAATAAAGACAGCAGCTACATTAAGAATTTAAAGGAGGCAGAGAAGCAGAGCATGTTCTATGTTGAAAGGCTTCCTGAAGGAGAGGTAAGTAAAGCTGGGCTTTGAAGCATGCATAGGAGTTCAAAGGATGAGATCGAGTAGGTACATTAGTCCAGGAAAGAGTTTCAACTTATGAAGAAGTTTTGTGGGAGATGAAGCCAAAATCACAGATGAGGGCTGGGTCCTGCAGGCTGGGGAGCCCTTAAATGCCAGGCCAGGTCTTTTGGATTTGCGCCTATGGAATAATTGGTCTTCAAACTTGCTCAGCAGAGAACCTGAAAACCCCTGACCTCTTCATGGAACGTCATGAGTGACAGATTAGCGTCAGAAAACAGGACTGCTGCTCTCGGTCTGGAGTATAAAACCACAACCACAGGCATGCATGCCTTTAAACGAAATACATCCTCAAATCAGACAGAATCAATCTTTCCCAAACAGTCCCATTATCAGTTACGTGCCGCTGGTTTCTCTCTTCTGCCTCCTAGAAGTCTGTGTGCTAGCAGACAACACAGGGCCATTGTTTGTCATAAAACAAAGGGCATGAGAAACTTACAAATGGAGAACGTTCTGAGAATTGACTTCTTTCCTTCCGATTAGGAATTCTGGAGGCCCGAGACAATGCTACAAAGAGCAGAGTCCTCTCTGAGGTTCAGTTTTCCTGTCTGACAAGAAGGAGCTGAGGACAGGACCATCACCTGAGACTGAGCTCTGGACACACGGTTGGCCCAGTAGGGGCATCTTCACATTTTCTGGGCTCTCCAGACAATGAAGGGCATGGGAGAGGCCTTCCATCCATGCCCACGGTTCTAAGCAGCATAGAGACTGGTTTGGAGTGGGACCAGCTTGGCAACCATCAGCTTCTGAAAGGGCCAGGGGTCAGCATGGGATGTGGATAGGTATTCCTGTGCAGAGTCCTGAAGCAAGCACGATACCCATGCTCTGACATGACTGACAGTCTTCCAAGTGCTCCCAGATGCTTCTCTCCTCCCCTGGGGTTCACCGTCAGCCGCCTGGCGCTCCTGAGCCTTCCTGAGGACCTTCAGTCTCGCAGGAAGCGGAGTACCTTCCTCCCTAGGTCACCTGGCCAGGAATGGGCAGCACCCAGTACCCAGGATGTGGGCTTCTATGAGCTGGCAGGGGCACGGAATCCTTGGCGAGTCCGTGTGTCGTGTCCCCACTGCCTGGGGAAGCTGCGAGGTCACCAGGAGCCGGATATAGTAGCCGCCAAATACCGCCAACAGCTGCTGGGCCATTTCCTGGAAGAGGCAGGGAAGCAGAGTGAAGGCCACAGAGAAGCATCTAATGTACAAGGGGAAAGCCAAGTGGTCCTCACACCCCTGGACCAGCAGTGATGCTCACTGGGAAGAACCCCACCAGGTCCTCACCTGGGGCTCTTGGGAGATGCGTGGCCTGGTCTGGAACCCCAGCTTTGCAACTCACCCCGTGGGGTTCCTGCAGCCTCAGCTTCCTTACCTCCAAAGTAGGTGACCTACCTGAACAAAAAAGCTCTGGAGTGCCAAAGCACTAGAGACATTACCACTGATTTATAGCAACCGATCACACACACACACACACACACACACACACACACACACACACACACTGGTTCCAGTTTCAAATGTCGGTGAGACTATAAAACGCATGAGGTCAAAGTAATGCACTTGAAAATCACTAGTAAATGAGGATGGGGTTAGGGGATCATCCCCATGACGGCAGGATTCTTCAATTCCTACAAGGCACCTGCTGGCTTTCTTTAGACAAGTACTCCTACTATATGAAGAGTTTGCTTTTAAAAAGCAGATTTATCACATAAAGGCAAATACTTACATGAGGCATATAGAGTAGTGCATTCATAGAGACAGAAAGTAGCACGGTGATTTCCAGGGGCTGGGGAAGGGGGGAGAGGGGGAGTTCGCATTTTGTGGATACGGAGTTTCAGTCGGGGAAAATGAAAACGTTCTGGAGATGTTTGACGGTGTTGGTTACACAACAATACGAATGTACTTAAGGCCCCTGAATCGTACGCTTAAAAATGGTTAAGGGGGCAAACTTTCTATTATATCTATATCCATATCTATATCTTTATCTATATTTATATTTTCTGTAATGAAAAAAACTTAAACAGTAAAAAAGAAAAAAAAGAATTTAAAAAATTGGATTTAATGCATGCTCTTATTAACACATTTGTCTCCAAAGTTCCATTAATTGGACTGGCAGCTGGGATTCCAGGGGAAATGCTTCGGTCCTGTAGGTGCGACACTGAAGGCTTACACAATCTCCATGAGCGGTCAGCATGTAATAAAGTAAGGTATGAGTCACATCAAGGCTATTCGTGTCAGTAGAGCTAGTGATGAAGAACAGGCTCTCAAATCAAAAGGACCGAGTGGGAATTTGAGCCTAGCCCCCGACGATGGACCCTGAACAAGTCCTTTGCCTTGCCGAGCCTTTTTCTTCAACAGGAAAAGAGGGAAAATCACAGCACCTGTTTGGGGGAGCTGGAGTGAGGATTAAATGGGCTAATTGATAGAAAGCCCCCCACCTAGTGTTCCTGGTGTTTCCTTTGAGTCATCCTTGGTGCTAGAAAATACTGAAAACCTCAAATAGTCTGCCACTCCCTAATTCAGACTGGTCTCCTTGCCAATCTACTCTAAAATCAACAGCATAAGGAGCAAAGAACCGTGGCAAGAAAATTGTACTTAGAATTAGGAGGGCTGGCTTCTGCCCTTGGCTTTGCCACATTCTCCCTTGCTCGGTGACCTGGGGCAGGTCAGATGACCTCTTGGAAGCCCATTTCACCCGACCAGGAAGAGGAAACATAATCCACGCCTCACAGGGTATGCTAAAGGGTTTTATGCATAATAAGAAATCTGTTAAAATGTAAGAGGTGATTATAACTATTTCCCTATCTTTCACAGGCGTTGGTTTCCTATTGAAATATGATGGTCTATCTGGCTATGCTGAGACTTGGGCACTGATTATATTTTCCCTAGCCAAGTTACAAAAGGTAGCTACTTTAAAAACATGTGCATACACGCTTGATATTCATGACAGGAAATTGTATTACTACTGGTTCGAATGAATTTGGAAAAATAATTTAAAAGACCCATCAGATTTAACAGGCTATGTCATATAAACCCAGGCATGCCACAGTAAAGTACATGACCTTATCAATCTTTTCTGCTCTAAAAAAAGTCAATGGGATTCAAGTGAAGACATTAATATATTTATCATTCTCTCTCTTGAATCCCATTTGCCAGTCCCCCTACTCCCCACCGATGCAAAAGGGAAAGTCTGGGCTGGTTTGCACCTTTAATCTTTCCCTGAAAAGAAAATTCAGGTGCTTCCCTGCATCACAGCATGCCTGAGGTCACCCCTCTCTGCATGTCTCCCAGCCAGTGGGTCCAACCTCATGGAGGACACAAGCTGAAAACCACACTATCAGATTTCTGGTCATATCGAACCGACAGCTTGGGTGGCAGGGCCTGATAGAACTCGGGCTAGGGGCACTGGAATTCAAGAGAGATGCCTATAAGAGTTACACATCCAACTGCAATTTAAGTAAATGGATGGATAGATGCCAGACTGATTGAAAAATAGATTTAAAAAATGACCTGAATACTCATTAACATGTTTATGGCTAGGTAGGCTATGACCAACCGATCAACATGCAACAACCAGACATTCCGTGGAGCTACCAAAAAGAATACCCAAGATATTAAAAGATGGGGGCGGAACCCAGTAAGCAGAAAATGATTCCTATAAATTATTTTTTCAAATGCTAGAGTAAGGAGGGACACCTGGGTGGCTCGGTTAAGCATCCAACTCTAGCTCAGGTAATGATCTCACGGCTCATGGGTTCAAGCCCCGCATCAGGCTCTCTGCTGTCAGCGCAGAGCCTCCTTTGGATCCTTGGTTCCCCTCTCTCTCTGCCCTTCCCCCGCTTGTGTGCGCATGCTCTCTCTCTCTGTCAAAAAATAAACTTAAAAAAATGCTACAGTAAGGAAAACATATATTGAAAACTAGTAAGCTAAAAGATACGTATGGCCTCTACCTACTCAGTGAAGCCATCTTCCCTGGGATTTACAACTTGAGGCCCCACACGGACTCCACACAAATACCCTGTGAGGGACGGTGGCCCTGACGGGCTCAAGTGCCCCTTACCTCTGGCTCAGCCTCAGGCACGAGCTGGCGAAGCTCAGTCTGCAGGAGTGGCCTCTCCTCCGAATGAGGACTGCCGGGCAGGAGAGGGGCTTCCTCCAACAGGTCCTCAGGCCCCTCTGCTGTCTCGGGGCTCACTCCGGTTTCCATGACAACACACAGCTGGCTCAATCTGCTTCTCAGCAAGGACTGCAAAAGAAAGAGAGACAGGGCTTGGATGATGTCCGGAGTTGGGTGGTATGTAGGAGGTTGGGTCACTCCCTGAGCTGTATAGACCCCACAGAGGACGGATGGATTCATCTACAGACTCAGATGTTGACCTCAGGAGTATCTGGAACTGAGCCACATTCGACATATCAGATAATTACCTACAAAGTTCCCTACAGTCTTTAATAGCTTCGAAAGCATTTTTCTTTCCATGCTGTCATTTGCTTTTCAAAGCACCCTGGGTCATGGGTATCTTTATCCACATGTTACAGATGAGTCAAGTGCAGCCCAAAGGCCTTGCCCAAAGCCACACAGGAACAAGTGGGCTGGGATCGGGCTACACCACAATTCTGACTTCAAGACCCCACGCCAGCACTGCCAGGGCTCCAGGCAAGGCTGATCCCAGGGAAGGAGCACAGGGCTCTGAGACAGGAAGGCTGAGCTCCAAAATGGGCATCACCAACTGGCCCCATGACTGCATTCAGGCAGCGACAGGACTTTTCAGAGCCTCGGTTTCCTCATGTGTCAGATCAGAGCAAGAACGCCCTGATCACAAATGATAGGAAGGCATTTTGAACATGGGAAAGTCGTCTAAATACCTGGTACTTTCCCCAAGGTTCCCACTGCCAGAACCTTTATTAGTATTATTGTTATTACCATTTATTGTTAATCTAATTGCTATATTATTAATAAATATATATGCTCACTCTAGGAAATGTAGAAAGTGCAATTAGCTGAAAAGGAGACTAATTGAGATCTAGTTAAAAAGTAATAATTCCCTAAGCAAAAACAACCACTGATTCTACATGGGTGTTCTTCCTTCCAAGTAACTTTTCCTTAGGCATTTTTCCAACACTGAGGAAATGCAATCTACGCAATGTGGCCTCCTGGTTTATTTTTGTGTGTTTGTTTTTTCACTTGAGGCCTCTTACCTCTTGGCTAGTCTTCATCTCTTGAATGTGGTCAGACAAAAACTGCACACAGTTCTCCAGGTCGAAGTAGACGAACCAGAGCTGGGGAGAGAAGCCATGACCGCTGAGGCTCAAAGCCAGCCCGACCCTGAACTCTCCATCCCTGACACTATCTTCCACCTCCTGCCTCCTTGCTGGAGTTCGGCCCTTCTGAGGACAAGCATGTTCTCTGGCGGGAACGTGCCATTCTGCTCTCTCCTCAGACTAGCGAGGTCTCCTTTGTACAGCTGGGAGAAAGATGGCTTTGTGTGCACATTTGGAAAATGTCAAACCCTGTTCAAAATGGCTGCAGCTCCACTTCCTACAAGTCACTGAGCATCCCACAGAGATGCCAAAGCATCCCAGACATCGCGTATCCACCTGGAGCTACCACCTTCATCCTCAGGGGCCAGGGTGCCTTGCTGTCTGGAACCCCACATACAAAGGAGTGAAACCCTTCAGTCACCCACCCCCACTGCTCAAGGCCAGGGGGGAGGAAATCCAACTGGGGTGCTCTGGGAGGAGGGGGGCAGGGTAAAAATTACTTCACCATTATCTCCCCTTCCTCCTCAACCTCAACAGTCCTCAGAAGGTCAAGTGTAACACAGCCAGGCCAAAACCCTCCAAGTTCACTTACGATATCTTGTCGACTCCATACCTGCCAACATCACAACTGAAGTTCTGCAAGAAGCTTGTAGTCCCTGCCTCAATGCCTCCAGCCACTGAACACTTCCTCTGAATCCCAGACCTCCTTCCTCCCAGTGACTGACCCGTGAGACCCAAGGTCACATCACCTTGCCAACGAGTCTCTCCACTTTCTTAACATCAAGGGACGCTTTTCAAAATGAATTTCTTTTTTGCCTTTTATTATGAAAACTTCCAGTCAGATACAAAGGTGGAGCAAATGATGGGGCACCTGAGTGGCTCAGTCGGTTAAGCCTCTGACTTCGGCTCAGGTCATGATTGCACGTTTCATGAGTTCCAGCCCCGCATCAGGGTCTGTGCTGACATCTCAGAGCCTGGAGCCTGCTTCGGATTCTGTGTCTCCCTCTCTCTGCCCCTCCCCCGCTCATGCTCTGTCTCTCTCTCAAGATAAAATAATCATTACATTTTTTTTTTAATTGGGGCGCCTGGGTGGCTCCATCAGTTGAGCGTCCGACTTTGACTCAGGTCATGACCGAGCGGTTTGCGAGTTTGCGCCCCACGTCGGGCTCTGTGCTGACAGCTCAGAGCCTGGAGCCTGGAGCCTGCTTTGGATTCTGTGTCTCCCCGTCTCTCAGCCCTTCCCCTGCTTATACTCTTTCTGTGTCTCTCAATAATAAATAAATGTTAAAAAAAATTTTTTTTTAATTTTTTAATGAAATAATTAACTTCCAGCTGCCCATCCTCTTGGGTGATCAGTGGTTCTCAGTTTATGCCTACTCTTTTTATTTTTTTTAATGTTTTATTTATTTATTTGAGAGAGAGAAAGCACAAGAGTTCGGGGGTGCATAGAGAGGGGGAGAGAGAGAGAGAGAGAGAGAGAGAGA